TTGACCTTGATGGATGATCCCTTGTGGCTGCATTGGATGATGTGTCACGAATACTTGTTGTGGTGGATTCCCCATTTGTAAGGGCATTGGGAGGGGCATATTTGGCATTCCTTGTGATTGCATTTGGGGATTTGGAGTAGGGTAGGGGACGTGTATTGGAGAATGGTGAAATGGCATTTGCATTGAAACACCAGGGATCGGAGGTCCAGGCAGCTTTTGAGGGGTAGAATGGGTAGATAAAGTTTGGTTTTCTTTTTTAGGTTTTGAAATAGAATGATGAATCTCAGGGGCATTACTTTGAATAACAGAAACAGAAACCGAAACATCATCTTTTCTTTGTTGTTTTGGGATTGATGGAGTTTGAATTTTATTAGCTTTTAAGGAATCAACATGAGCTTGAGCTTGTTTCTGTTCATCAAAATTTGGTGGGGCAGAGCTAGTTCGAGCAGGTATCTACAAACACCAAAAGAACAAAATTACAAAATTACAAAAATACCCTTGTTGGTTTGTTCAAGTTACAAGATCTTCATCACAATAGACATTTACCTGCATTACACTCACGATACCAGGACTGATTGATCCAAATTGAAGTGGAAATGCCCTAGAAGCATCTGCAGGACCTGAACACAATAAAAAAGAGTATAAGTAGACAAGAAAATTACAAAAATACCCTTGTTGTAGTTACAAATTTATAATCAATTACATTATATTTATACCTTTTGTTGGAGTTGAAGGACCAGTAACATCAGAACTGGGAACAGTTGTGTTACCCTGTGGAGGAGCCTTTGGGAGGCCGGGGGTGTTCTTCTGAATTGGTGTTTCAGATGGCTTTGGAGTAGATGGAGAACCAGGTGCACCTAATATACAGAAAGTATGCATTTTGAATCGAGTAGAATCATGGTTTCGGGAAGAATTTTGTGTTATACAGTGGAAGGGGTAGTAGTTTTGGGGATTAGAAAGATGAAATTATGGAAATCGAAGGGAATTTGAGCAATACCTCGTGCCGGCGGTTGTAAATGTGCGCCATTGGTTACACTAGCGCCTCCGGGAGTAGAAGAATTCGACAAATCCGAATTTGAATTTGTAATCGGGGTGTTTACCCTAGGTTGTACTCCTTGAGCATGATTATTCGTCTTCTTAAAGCTAAAAAAAATACCCAAATCACGAACATGAAAAACATACCCTAAATTCACAGATACATACACAGACGCGTAGATAATGTAGCAAACCCTAGTTTTAAATTACCTTCTCTGCGAAGAATAAGAGGAGGAGGATGGTGGGGCGGTGTTACTTCCTCCGCCGCCGCCGCCGCCGCCCTTCCCACCACCACCGGAGTAGTTCCTTGGCAAGGATGAGTTACCGGATCGACCTACTCTTCTGTACTGCTGCGGCTCGTTCTTGTCACCCTTCGATTGATTGACGGACATGTATTCAAACCTTTAAAAGACCCAATTTTTTTCCTTCCTGGATCAAATTCAATAACAAAATCAAATTGACGAAACTCAGATCCCCCCTCCAATCAAAAACAGTAATTAACCATAGCAGTCTATTTTAACATTACGATATCAAAACGAAAAAGATGATTGCTTTCATTTAATTACTTACCAGAAGTATCAACGATTATTGAAAAAAAAATAACGAAAGAGAAAGAGATAGAGACAGAGAGAGAAAGCTAGGGTTTAGGAATTGTTGTGTCGAGAGGCGGGAATACCATAAGCCAGTATCGAAGAAGAGAGAACTAGTATGTGTTTTTGGTGTTTGTGTGTGTGAGAGGAGAGAGAAAGAAAGAGAGAGAGAAAGAAGAGGGTGATGGATGGTAACAAACTGGCCCTGGGTAGGTGGTCAAAAGCTAGGGTTTTTCGGAGATGAATAATCCGACCGAATCGCGGCGCGTTGACGGATCCTTCGGGTTCTCTCTAAATGTGTGTTGGTGTGTCACAATTTACACACATTGGAGGCCTTTGTGTGTGTTAATACCACGCGTTTTGGATCACGCGCTGCCTTCTTACTTCCACGCGCCACCCGTGTTCCTTTTTAAATATTCACCAACTAATATGCATATCGTATATTTAAAGAAAAGCACGTAATATATATGCATATTTATATGTATATATTGTGGAGGTTTAATTAAGGAAAGTTAAGGATGACTGATGTCAATATAATTAAATTTTGAATGTGGAAAATGAAGTCCTGATTTAAATACAACTCTTGTATATCAAACCTACTTTATAGTTTTAAAGTCCAAGTTTTTTTTATTTGTTTAAGAGTAAATTATATAAATTTTGTATTTATGTTTTAACAGAATGATAAGTTTAGTCCAAACTTTAAAATTGTCTCAACTTTAAGTTTGATTTTTTACGGATGTGGTCCATGATCTATATAAATTGGCTTCATGTTTTGGACTAAACATGAATGTTTGAGTGAAGCACAAGGATCATGTTTGTAATGATATATAAACATATTGAGTGATATTATGACAATTTTAGAATTTCGACACCAAATTTGTAGTTTACTTTTTTTAATGATACTTTTTTTCTACCTATCTTTTTTATGGGTATAAATTATGAGATGTAGTGTCACTATTCAAATTGTCGCTGTTAAGATGGTTTTTATTTTTTTGTCTCCAAATTTTTTTTGGTTTCTTTTATGCAAACATTAATCTTCATAGACTCATAGTTTTTAGAAGGTCGTAGATCTAAATTGGTTTGTGCCTCTTCTTCTTGGTGCAAATATTGATTAAAGTCTTTTAACATTTTCAAACATCTTCTACCCTAAAATAAACACACACACACACACACACATATATATATATATATATATATATATATATATGTATATGAGAAATTAAATTGTCTCCTACTATTTCTTCCTACTAATATACCTACCCATTAAAATTATGTGATTTGTCATCAATATTTCATGTCATTTAATTTAATTTGATATTCCTATAGTGCCCTTAATGAGGTAATTGAGAAAAAAGAAAAAATATATATCACGTAAATCTTCAATCCTCATTCATTTCTAAGCCCTTCTTCTCATCAACTTCAGTCGACATCCACTTCAATCGTCGCTACCTGGTCTTCAATCGCCACCCAATCTTCTGTCACCGCCGCCAATTGTCACCTTCTGATCTTCAATCGATACTAGAGCCACCATCAACCTATAAGTTTACTAGTCATTTCTTTATTCACTTTTTTTGAACCTTAGAACTGCATTAAATGTCATGTGTTAGAAGACGAATTTTATTTGTCTTTAGGGGTTGGGAAACCAGCAAAGCCACTAGCTAAGTATTGGATTTTATGATGTAATAGGACTAAACATAGTCATTTGTTCCACAAGATTCAGGTTATAGTAGGAATCTGAGTTGCCTTAGTCAGGGATTAACAAGTTTATCCACAAACGCAAAAGCTTAAATTTTAAAATGATTATATTTGGAATTTCACTCGGTAAATTGTCAATACTCTCTTAGTTGCAAAAAATAATACCCTCATCGGTTGTCTTGTGCATTTTCATCCATTTTACATCTTTATCGTGTAGATCCGTCTTCATAATCACAATAGAAAATTATATCCACAAAACGAAAATGGAGAATAGAATATGATGACACCAAATTGAATTGTTTCTTAAATGTCAATATTTTTATAGCTCTCTGTTAAGAATCACATATTAAGGATAACTTTCATCATCTAAATTGCTTTAAATCCCTTACTTCATTATACATAGATAGCCAAAGTGAGTTTACATAAATAATAAGTATACATGTAACATATATGTGGAAACTATAAAGATTTGGAGATGAACAGTTGTTTAAATCTATTAGAAACTACTCGATATGATTGTAATTGTAAAAAATTATATATTGGATGCTTATCAAGTTGGAATGACTAATACCTTTTCGATTTGAAGGTGTTTTATGCTCATGGATTCTAATAGTATTTAATCAATTTTTTAAAATAGAATAACACACAACTGTAGAACCTTGACATCTATATGTTTAATGTTTAGTGTTTTTCCCAAGCAATTATGCACATTCTTAGTTGGTTACTTATCATTTATCAAGTCATCTATCATAATCTGACCCACTTGTTTATTGTGACAGAATAGTTGGAACAAATATTTTTGATGATAGAAAAATTGGAAATCCACAAATCTTGATGCTTGATCGCTGAAAAAAAGTTAAATTATCCAAAATACAGGAAACATGGACAATAAAATTAAAATAATAAACAAACATTTATCTTTTTTACTTCCAACATAAACATCTTGTGTGACATATTCTACCTACCCTTTGCTAATTTAAGATAAAGGCTTCATTTACACGTGTTCTATTTTATCTCACTTGTTGTAATTGATGCATTATCATTGTTTTAACAGGTTAGAGTTACTACAACTTCGATTGAATAAAGAAGGGATGATTATTGGGATAGAGTATTTATCTTATCTAATAGAAAAGAAGTATGCACATGCAAGATCCTTGCCACTTGTTCAAGCTCGGGTGCTTAATGCTCATGAAGAAATATCAATGGCGACCTCACAAGGAGTAGTAGTAAATGAAGAAGCACCTGTAATGGAACCTTGTAATAATCATTTTTGAGATTGTTTGATCTTTTACAATGTACTTATATGAGAATGGTTTAATATAGCAATGTAGTTTATTTTTGTAAACACTTTACACGAGTTATATTTTTACATCTGTAATCAAATGTCCATTAGTTTCATTTCTCATTTAGGTCACAAATGACCTTGAATTGTTTTTGTAAACCTAGACAAAAATGGCCAAAGTTTACATTTTGTAAATTTGGACAAAATGCCCTTGAGTTAGAATGCGCATAACTCAGTCAACTGAAGCCATATTTACTTGATTTTTTTTCAACATATAGTTTAGAGTTTGCGCTTCATTTTATACCGTACAAACACATCTTTTAGTTACATATTGAATCAGATATAGGCCAAGGAAAACTGCGTATCAGTGTTGTTTAATTCCTGTTTCAGCACTCACTTTTTTTTTGCAATAACCCAGTTATGAAGTCGGATTTACTTGATTTTTTTCCCAGCATGCAGTTTAGAGTTTATACTTCCTTTTAGACTATACAAACACATATTTTGGCTACATATTGAATCAGATATAGGCCCGGGAAGACTGCATTTCAATGCTGTGTATTTTCTGTTTTCAAAGTACATTACCATTCTTGGTTCTTTTTTGAAAGTACATTGCTATTTTTGGTTCTATTTTGAATGTACATTTGTATTTTTGGTTCTATTTTTAAAGTGCATTGTTATTTTTGGTTCTATTTTGAAAGTGTAATCCTATTTTTTGTTCCATTTTTAAAGTTTATTGTTATTCTTGGTTCCATTTGTATATACACAATATTAGGCAACCCTATAACATAATAAAAGGACCAAAATGCCCTCTACTCATCTTTTTATAGCATATTTTGATCTTAAACAAAATAAATTCACAATTATTCAATAAATGAACAATATGCCCTTTATTTTGAAACCAAGAAATCCAGTCCGTAACACTATCACAATGTCATTCGGTTCTTTCAAAATCATTAAACGCAAAATAAATGAAACTAAAAATTAATCTTTTTTCAAAAAAAACTATTTTATACTATTTTCACATACTCCTCGGTCTTTATCATTCAAATCGATACATTAAGATCAAACTTCGGCTCATCATTATAGGAATTTGTTCCATGCTCACGACTTGAATCTGTTTGATCTTGTTGTATGTTGTCTGTTTTTTCATGTACCTAAAAAAACTTAGTTATTATAAACTATATTGACCAAATTAAAAAAATAAAAAATCTAAATATATAAAAATTACATTTTTCTTTGTTTTCTTCTTCATAACTTGTTCTACTCTAGATTCCTTTCTCTTGTATGGTGGATGGCCTTTACTACGCACTTGCAAGGGTGATAACAATTTTGTAGTCGAGTCTGAAATATGAACATCTTCAACTACCAAATTGATGTTACTACTATAACCCCAAACTGAATCATCATTCAACTTTTCTTTAGCCATATTTACACAACTTAGCAAGTATTCATACTTTTCGTCGGAATTAGCAATATGTGCAGCCTCGTAAAAATTGGAACACAAATGGTCAAATTGTTTAGCATTTTCACCACTCATCAAATCTTTATAACAATTTATCATTGAGTAGTGTCTATGCTTCACATCTTTCCTCCACCGATACAAAATATAATGTGGATGGATTTCTTTAACATCCTTCTCAAACAATATTTTCAACACATGCCTACAAATAATTCCTTGAAACTTAAACAAATGACAAGAACATTATATATCACATTCAATCTCATCATAACTAATGGTATAAACAACTATTTTTTTAGAATCTTCATGTTTCCCTTCCAAAATATATGTGACATGAAATACATAGCACACACCATCCACTTAGACCAATAAAGAGTTTCAAAAAACATACCTCGTAACTCATCTTGAAACAACTTAAATATTGCATTGTGTATGCTTCCTGAAACTATCTCTCAAAATGAAACCTAGGTACTAATTTATATGAACAACTGAGAGATTCAAAATCAGCCTTATTTTCTTTTTTCAATCTTGCTTTTCAGTGCATTGTCATATTGCTCAAAAAATTGTCGTAATGAGGTTTTAGAAATAACGTACACATAAAAAAACATTCATGCTTTCACTTTTTTGCATAATAGGCATCCCTGCCCAAAAGTTTTCTTTTACATATATCGGCACCCAACGTATTCGATCGTTAAATAAAGAACTTAAGCACTCATTTTTTTTTCAAGTGCGTACTTTTCAACCAGCTTGCACCACCCATCTTCAAACTTTTGAGTGTCTGTAGACTCATATACAAGGGTTTTTAGAGTCTTCTTTATTACTTTATATTGGGGCGGCCTACTTAATTTTTCAGAAATCTTTTTCATAATATGTCAAAGACAAAGATGATGATGAGATTTAGGGAATACCTGTGCCACAGCTCCTTGCATTGATCGAAATTGATATGTTATTATTGCTTTTGGTGTCCGTCCATTCATGCATTCTAACCATGACTTGAATAACCATACATATGTTTCTGTATCTTCTCGTGAAAGCAAACTACATCCAAATAAGATAGATTGTCCATGGTGATTTACTCCAACAAAAAGCACAAACAACATATTACATTAGTTAGTCAAATACGTGTTATCAAACGAAATAATATCCCTGAATGACTCGTATGCTGCCCTTGACCTTGTATCCATATCAATCATGTAGAAAAATTTTGAACTCCTTTTTTTACATATGGATAAAATAATTACGAAGTGTCTCGGCATCCCCAAGACCAAGTATTAGTTGTCTTACTTTTGCGATGTAAGATCTACAACGTATCTCGCCAAAAGGCAAATTGTCATAACCTTTCTCTTCAGCAACTAATGAGTGAAAACTTTTATTTAACGAAATTCCAGCATAATCATTCAACTCAAGTCTTCTCTTAGCATATGAATCCATTTTCTTATGTGATCGTTGGAAACAAGATTTTTTTGTGACTTAAAGCATGATTATGTTCAAGAAAAACACTAAAGATAACACATCTTCCATCACCATATGCAATTACGTTAATTTTGCTTTGCAGTTTGTTTTAGAAGACTTTTTATATGGTTTGCTTGTTTTAGTGACATATACCCCTCCTCTAGTACATCCAAGTGAATAGTATGTTTTAGCATAATAATCTTTTGTTCTTGTACTAGATTTCTGTATACCAAATCCAATCTGGAATGCATACACTTTAAAGTAATTGTAAAGGTCTTATTCTGAATCAAACTTCATTCCATCTTTAGGAATTTTTTGATCTTGAGGATTGAGAATTGTATGCCCTTTAACTAAATTTGCATCCACTTCAACTGAAATTGCAACCTTTTCTACTGAAATTGCAGTCTTTTCTACTGAATTTGCAGCCTCTTCGATTGAATTTGCAGCCTTCATACTGATCAAATATCAAATATTTTATTAACAATAAATCAAAGATTTTATGAATAACAAAGCATCATAACCTACTATAAGTTGTAATATTAATCAACAAATAAGAGTTATTTTATTAGAACTATAACTATATAATTATATTATAAATGCAAATATGATTGACCAATTTCTATAATCACTATTCACTATTATACACTTTTATCCATCACTTATAAATTGTAATATTAATCTAAGGTTAAATCAAACAATTGATTCACTATTGAAACAATTATGTGAAGTAAAAACGTGAAGAAAATGAAGTAAATAGTGTTGAAAGACATTTTGTTGTCATCACTACATAACAACTTAAAGACTGTGTTTAGTATGTAGAACTAGATAGAACATAACAAATGCTCTTGGCCATTTGACATAAACTGACACATATGACAAAAACTAATCAATAATATTTAAAGATAAAATACCATATTATCATAGAAAACATAATGTTGGCGAGGATTTTGACATATGTTTAAAATTCGTGAAAGGCACAAATGCCTCTTTTTCTTTATAAGAAATTGTTTTGTATGAAACCTACTTTAGATGATAGATTTTACGTAATATTAGATAAAATTACAACCACATTAACAACATGATGAATTAACATATGTAAAATCTAAATACATGACAAAATCAAGAAAAATAGCACTTTAAACCAGTAAACAAAGTTCTAAATGTTATAGTTCTCAACAGAAGTATTTACAAAAAATAAAAATACTCATAACCCACAAACATAATCATTTAACTTCAAAAAGAAATAGGTGACACGATCCATCTCAAAAACACCATTACTTTATGTAGTGCCTTCACATAATTAAAGCAAAAATTACCTGATTGTTGATGTTTTGATTGTTGTTCTTGGCGCCGGGGTAGCAATTATTGTGGGCAACAAACTAGACGAGAATAAGGGTTTGAGAAGGAATCGGGATTACAGGTCTGATATGCACATTCATGTGATCATCATTAGGGATGTCAAAAACCCCTGCGTGACCCCGATACCGTACGAGACTATTTTTTTTTTTTTTAAAAATCGGGAGCGGGAGTAAGGGCTAGGCAATATTAACTCTCGTTTATTTTCGGGACCGGGGGCGGGAGTGAGTATTTCCGTCCCGTACTCCCGTGGGAACCCCGTTTATATATATATATATATATATATATATATATATATATATATATATATATATATATATATATATATATATATATATATATATATATGATATAGATCCGGTAAGAAATTTTTTTTGGTAGGAAGGTAAGAAGTTTTTTTTTCTACATATTTTTTTGACGAACAAAAAAAATGAATCACTAGATGATTCATTTGTAAGATGATTCACAAGAAAAAATTCTAAAAAAAAACATCTTTATGATTCATTTTTAAGTAAATTAAGAAAAAACTCATTTTTATGACAACTTTAGTGAATAACAACAAAATCATTATATAAATGAACCATCGAGATGTTTTTTTGAGAATTTTTTCTTGTGAATCATCTTAAAAATGAATCATCTAATGATTCATTTTGTTTGTTCGCGAAAAAAATATGTAGAAAAAAAACTTCTTACCTTCCTACCAAAAATTTCCTTTTAATTTGATCTTGACTATGTATATATATATATATATATATATATATATATATATATATATATATATATATATATATATATATATATATATATATATATATATATATGGAACATGGTTCGTACATGGGTTCACGGTCGTGAACGGGTTTACGGCCGTCACACCAACCTGACCATGAACACAACCGCAAAGACATATTACACCACAAAAAATACAATTGTCTAAAAAAGTTAAGTATAAATTATAATTTTAGACCTAACAGCAGGCCTTGTAATCCTTGACAGTAAAACCAAATTCGTTAAATTCAATAGAACATTTATTTTGATGTTTAAATTTTCGAACGAAAATAAGATTTTTTTTTACTTGAAGGGGTGACGAGAACATTATGTAAATGTATAAGGTTGTTAGGTATTTTTTTTTTTTTTTTTTGGGAAAAGTGGTGTGTGTGGTCACAGTTAAAAGAATTTTGGACCCATCTCCAACTAGAATATGATGATAATTATAATTATTGCAAATAAAATCAAGGATACTTGTGTTTTCATGAACATGGTCAGTAGCCCTAGCGTCCATAATCCATTCACACAGCTCATGTAGATAGATCGAGAAACATGTGAGAAAAAGAGATGGGCTGCTGGTTCGGCCCAAACCTAATATTTAGAAGACAAGAAATGACAATGCATTCATTGACAAAGTATTTGTATCATCTTCATGTGGATAACATGTAATCTATAATTCCTTAGCGTCTTGCTAGCTTTACTAAAATATCTTTGTTTAAAATAAAATTTAATAAAGATATACAATTCATTTATGAATTTTTAAACGTTGAGGAACGATTAGTTTGAAATTTTTTAATGATTAATTTTCATACACGGATTAACAAAACTATATGCAATTTAACTTTGAATAATTGTAGTTTGATGAAGCCGGTACAAGGGATATAAATATTAATTAAAAAAAAAAGTTAATATCTTAATCAGTTTGTTCGGTTAAACAGCCGATTACATCGAACCCTAATCAATTTGAACTATTTTTTCGGTTTATAATATTTGTTATTTACTACACCCCTAGTAAAAATAACAAAATATAATAAAGTTTAAATAGCCCTAATTGATATTTGATAAATTTTACTCTATGAAAAACATAAAGCCACAAGGTATTAGTACTTTCATTTATGAGATGTTCCGTCAATTGGACAAAACTATATAGTTTGACGCTATTGTGATTATTTAATGACATTATTGCTTGTCTCTACATTATAAATATCTACAATATATATCCAAAATCGTATCAATGATTCTTTCATTTAGATTTCTAACATATACTTTTTGTATTATCTTCTTGTTTATATTTAAACAAAACAATAAAAATGATCATTGTGGGTTGTATTTTTACAATCTAGGCCAAACCTCTTAATAATTATTGAAATAGGTTTTTTAGTTGCCTTGCGTATTTGATCCGTTCAAAAATGATTATAATATCCTTAATATATATTTTTTCTATTTTTTTTTTCATATTTTATGTTATTATTATTATTTAATATGAAAAAAGCCTATATATTCCCTCTCTCACTATTCTTGACCCATTCAAAAAATAAAATATCGGGAATATTTTTTATATATTTAGTTTTCTATTTTCTTTTGTATTTAAAGTTATTATTATTATTTATTGTTGAAAAAGACTCTCTCTCTCTCTCTCTCTCTCTCTCTCTCTCTCTCTCTCTCTCTCTCTCTCTCTCTCTCTCTCTCTCTCTCTCTCTCTCTCTCTCTCTCTCTCTCTCTCTCTCGTGTGTGTGGGATATCTTCATTACGGTTAGTCTTGAATTTAGTTTTTTTATATTTATGTTATTATTTACATTTTTAATTGGATTTGAGTTTTTTAAATAGACAAAGCCTGAAGCAGTTATATTGAAGACAAAAAAAAAGTTGGCAATATTTGCAGGAGATAGAACTTCGGAAGAAAATGATGAAATAGCTAAGGAGAAAAATCGCCAACTAAGCAAGACCACAAATATCAAACTAGAAAGTATCGCATAAATTGACGATTTATTAGCAAGTAATGATGGTACAGTAGATAACCACCATATAGATGATGATGAAGATGACATTCAAGTGGTATCTCCAACATGTTTTTCAACTGAAAAAAAAAATTCAAGGGCAAAAAAAAAAAAAAAAAAAAAAAAAGAAAATAAAAATCATAGATGAAGTAGAAGATGGAGCTAAACATAAACCTGAACCAGAAACATTTGAAACAAAGATTATGAATGTTGTTGTTGATGTGGTTAATGTGTAGAACCCGACTCTTGGTACGTATTTTTATTCAAGTAATTATCACATTTTGGCATGGGATTCGCCGAGTTGGAGGCCCAAGTCGTTAAGTAGAATCGACTTTGGACACGGGGGTTTAGTCACCTACTCGACGAGTCGGAAGACCGACTTGACGAGTAGGAGCTATCTTGACAAAACCCTAATATTTAGGGTTTGCACCCTATTTAAACAACTTACCTTCTCCCCAACCAACCTCTATCATCCCTCTTACTTCCAGAAGGCCCTAAATCGAAACCCTAGCTGTGTTTGAGTATTATTAAGCCATTTTTTTTGTGCATTTAGTGGCTGTGAAGCTTGAGAAGAAGGAAGGAGCTTAAGAGATCGAGTTGAGGCTAGTGGATCCAGAGGTTGTGTTCCATCTCCAGTTCATATAAGGTAAAAAGCTCTAGCCTTGGTTGTCCATTTGATAGATCCATTTTAGGGCTTGGAACTTGACATCTTTGGGACATTTCTAAGCTATTTCGGGTTCCAGAGCATAGTGAAGGGTAAAGGCTCTAGATCTTGGGCCTTAAAGGGTCCTCATGGCATAAAGGTGCCAAATTTATGGCCATGAAAATCCCATGCACCTTGTAGACCTCATTTTTTGG